GAGTGGGTACATGTATCATACACAAGTACGTCGACGAAGGTGTAGGCGTTGGAGTCGTTGTTTCGGGACACTTCTTCTCGTAGGTAGTGGCAGTGTCGTCGGACGACATGAAGGTAAGAGTCGGCTCCATTGGGTTCATCAAATGTAAATACGTGAGATTGTATTGCGCGTTGATTGCGCTCGCCAAAAGCGACGCGATCAAAAGGCTCCTCATTACTACTCTGCTGCTATACGATGCGATGCGATGCGATGCGGTACGATCGTGTGGGGCGCAGCCTGGGATGCGTTGACACCACGATGGGCGCATGAGTCGCAATTTATTTCTTTCCCACAATCAGGACCGCAGCCCAAGTAGGCAGCTGCCAAGGCCTTGTCGACCAGTTTGATGAGTACAGCAAGGGATCTAACTAGAATCTTGACAAGCTTGCTGACGAGTCGCGGGACAAGATAGAAATGGAGATGTTCACGTTCTTGTGCCTGTCAGGCCTAAGCGACCTGAGGAGCTCAACAGCGAATGGGTCGCGTGTCTGTCGCGCCCTCAGGCACCCAGCGCGTAAGGGCTGCAATGGTCCAGACCACATTCTCATAATATGTTGACCTTGCGCGCGCTCTTTCAGAATTCCTCTATTATATCTCGATCCGACGACTACCTTTCGGTGGAAAGCGCGAGAGAAGTAAGACGATGAAGCCAAGCAACGCAACAGCGGCATTACAGATGAAAGTGAGATGGCTTTGGCCAGCCTCGGCAAGCGCAGCGAAGGCCACTCCAAAGACGGCCGACGTCGAAAGACGCGCGATGTTTTCGACGAGCGTTATGCCGCTGAGCGCGTCGACACGCTCGCTGTTCGGTAGCATTTGCAGGATCGATCCCTTGGACGCGGCACCGGTACCTGCAGCAAATGGCAGCATCACAGCAACAATGTACATTTGCCAACCCTGTGATACGAATACGGCAAGACCGGTAAGTATGCCATCAAGCAAAAGGCTGAAGCGCGCATAGAACAAATCGAATGCAAATGTTTCCTGCTCGTTCGTCGGTTCGGGGTTGGGTGGCTCTTCGCTCTCCATCGGGTCGACAGTTTCTGTTACTGCCGGAGTTGGTGGTATTATATGAACCTGCACTGTCGATTCTCTTTCTTCGTCTTCCGCCAACTTGCTCTTCACGCCATCACCCATCCACTTTCGCCCTGCAGCGACGATGACGGGAAATACGAGAGAGAGGAAACCACCTCTCAATGCTGAGTACATGAAGATGAGTGCTCCGTTCTCCTTCGGGCCGAAGTTGAACTCAACAGTAGCATACATCTGGAGTAAGATCGGGATGTAGCCGGTCGCAAGGATACCCAAGAAAACGCCGATACCAAGTGTGAGTGCTCCAAACTGCAGGCGAGTACGTCCATTCGGTAATTCCCACTTTTGCGGTGCAAAGATGCGGAGGGGGCCAAAGAAACGCGCGATGCCAGTGGTTTCGCGAGGTTTCGCATCCTTGTCTTCCTCCGGCGGTGGCATGGCAGGTAGCGATACTGCTACATATACGCAGCAAAGCAAGAACAACACCAGAGTCATTCGGAAGGGCGCAAGTATGCCAAAGTAGTCGCCGACAATGCCTCCGATCAAGAACCCAATGGCGCTTCCGAAGTACATGCAGCCTTGGAGTCTGCCCAATGCGCCTGTGCGTTTTTCATGTTCGACGACGTCTGCCACCAAAGAATTGAGGCACAAAACGTATCCATTGGGGCCTCCTAGTACTGTGATGACTTGCGAGCACTGCACGATCATGATGCCAACATTGCCGCCATGCATGATACCGATATTCTGGATTAGAAGGCGGACCGCAGGCCAGAAGATCTGAATGATCAAAGCCAATTTGACGCCCAGACGTTTGATAGTCCATGCAGCTACCAGCAAATTGACAAGGCCGAAGATCGTAGTCGATGATGCCAGAAGTGCAAAAGCCCTGGCCGCTCCAGCGTCGATTTCGCGTCTCGCACATCTATCCACGGCGTGCGGATCCGGCTCATGGTGTTCGTAGTAAGCATCGCAGGTCAATATCCGGAAAGCGTATAGCATAGGAGCCTGCGTGATACTGAATGTCAACGATACAAGGAACGCGCATATCAAAGCCCGGAATAACACCGGGACGGCCGCTTTTTCTTCTCTTGGTTTCGGCTCATCGCGCGGCAGGAGGGGTGTGGTCTCCTCCTCTTGAATGGTCGAAGGACGTCGGAATTCTTGGGCGATAGCCATGCTTGGGATTTGGCATGGGAATGAGAGAGAAAAGCTTGGTGTTGAGGAAAAGTCTTATCGTGATGCGCATGGCGTTGACTAACGCTCTGTGGAAGCTGCGTCCGGGTATCGGCGGGGTAGCGGCTGCGCGTATCTCCAGACTACCCACCTGGGCACACCGACTATATCGCGTACGTCGTATACTGGACGCATTGAGCCCACACACAATGCGAATTGCAGACCTGGGACACTGCAGTGAGATGTGAACAGCAGAATGCAGAAGCTCGCGATGACGTCAGCCTATCCACACCCTCGCCACTGGGAACACCTCCTTCGCATCTTGAAATTGCTCTGCTTCGGGGCCATAGATGGCAGTTGCGTTAACAAAATACAACAGACTATAACAGCCTACACAAAAAAATTGAGCATCGCAATGTGGTCGCGCCAGCTGTACATGCCGGTTGGTAGTGTCATCTCACACTCAAAGGAAACTCGAGCACGAAAATTCACTAATCTTGAAGCATCATAGAAGTATGTATGAATTCGATTGAGATGCGATACGAAGATTCGATCCTCGTGTTGGTGTACAATCGCTCAAAGTAGGGTATGTTGTTTCCTGTAAGTTTCCCCCATCCCAGGATAAACGCCGCTTATGCCATCCATCTAATACCCAATGCCATGCCGGAAGATTTAAAATGTCGTAGCCCCTCGATGCCAAAACGCCAGCTCTCGCTGACGTCAAGGAAGAGAGTTCTGATAGAATACAATGTCGAGTATGTATGATTGTCGACAGTTGAGTTTAAGTTGTAGTGCGCTTAAGCGAACTCGAAGCGCTCGTTGCAGTGTGACAGCTCACGGAAGCAGTGAGGGCAAAGGTCAAGACCCTGAGAGGTCAGACCAAGTGCGGCAGATGCGGCGTGGAGAGTCTCGCGGGTTGATGTGGGTGCGCTGGTGGAGGCCGGGGTTGGGGCACCGGAGGCACCGGCGGGAGTGGAAGAGACGGAGTCTGGAGACGTTGTTAGTATGGACGAAAGCGTCGGTAGAGACATAAACATACCCTTGAAGGAAGGCATCTTGAAGTTGATTGTTTGATGGATTTGTTTGAGGTTGAGTTATTGAGGTATGACGTATATTATCTTCGTATGATAAGAAGTGAGATGGATGCAGATGTGGATGAAAGTAGACAAAACCCCAGAGCCACAATCCCTCTTATACAACGCCGCCTCCGCCGCGCCTTCCCAACATGACCCTGAATACAGTCACCAACGAAAAATTGGCGAGCAAAAAACCGTGCGCAACAAGCACCATCCCGACTTGTCCCGGAACCGTTTCGAGAATTTGCGTCGAACGACATCAAGATGATGCGCCACGCTCGCCTCACGCGCTAAGTGGAGTGATGATAACGCGTGCGGACCCACTGTTAGCCGTTAGTGCGGCTGAGATTTTCAGGGCCGCAAGCAAGAGGCTCGCCATCGTGCATTTGATATCGGCTAGAATGTGTTTTCCGGCTTCGGAAAAGGGTTCTTGTTGACCGGTTGAATGTATGCTGGATCGCGCTGGTCAGGTTTTCGATGCCCAAGATAGAGCGATGACTGGCTCGGACAGACGGAAAGTGAAGTTTTGCTTCCAACGGCCTCGAGGCGGGAGATAGTCGGTGTAGCGTGCCTGTGCTACCGGTCCTTCACATGTCAGACATGTTTTGGGCTGTTGCGGTTTCAGACGACGTCATCGCGTTATCGTCATCGGGGGTCGCGATCTTGCGATGCACCCACCAGCCTTGTTTATCTCTGACACCTCACATCGCAGGGCCATTACGTGACAGTCAGATTCTACGAATGAATTGCAGTTTCTGTGTTCCCATCCTCGAGTTCGCGAAACACCAAATGAATCGAAGCAACGTTACTCGTAATGTTTGACACATGGCATGCAAAAGAAGTATGGGCCAAATGGCTGTGACCCAGGGCGATACGCTGGGTAGTTGCAGCAGCTATAAGAGATGTGAAAAAAAAGTTCAGAGGACACAAGAGGTCCTCATAGGCGTCTGTGTGCATTGGCAGTCCTTGACATATCGATGGAATCGACGTTTCGACGCGTTCCCAGGGGACGCGCTGAATGTAGCTTGACGCTAGTATGAAAGAGGATTAGTGTCTGAGGAGGCTGGATGGATTGCTAGCGGGAATGCCACGATGTATTCCCGCAACCGCACGCGCTCTGTCTCTCAGCCCTTCAGTCAACTGTATTCCAATCGTACCAAAACCACTTTTCCTCACCACAATGGCCATGTCTGAATGGCGGAGAAACTCCCGAAATCGCATCTCTCGTCAACCCGATCAGCCTTTGCCCTCATAGACCCGAACACGACCTTATTCCACCGCCAGATAGACCGTCATGCCTACCTCACCAGCGGTTTCCGTACCCACGTCGCGATCTCATACGTATGGAGCGAATGGCGGGATAATGCATCGGACAAGCTTCCGAGCTGGGCAGCGCTCCAGAAGCGGCTGACATCTCTTCTGGGAGAGCATGCGTCTCCGGAAGTCAAGGCTGTTACGGGGAAAGCAACTCGATGCTGGCTGGATTGCATGTGCATCGATCAGGAGTCGAGCGAGGACAAGTCGTATTGGATACCGCGGATGGACGAGATATACTATGAGGCGCGATGCACGATCCTGCTCCTGCGGGTGCCTCGGCTGGATCTAAGCCCAGTGCTGGAAGTTAAGAGGCGCTTGCATTGCCCATTGTCTGGCCCACTGAGGCTCAGAGACATTGCGCAAATGGTTCCGCATAGCTGTCTTCTCTGCCAGTCATGCACATCGCTGCCGGAGATTGACTCAGAACTCGAGACATTAGCCCTCAACACGCTGAGGATCCTGTGTCATGCGACGTGGCGCGAGAGAGCCTGGATTCTACAAGAGATACTGCTCAGTCAGAACTACTTGCTGACTTGGGATGATAGTGGCGAGTGGCTCTCCCTTGCCGACACCGCTGTGATTGCCGCACTCTTATACCGTCGGAATCTGGAAGAGACATGGCTCGACGAGTTTGCGTCCTGGTGCCGCAGATTATGGTATCTCAGGCAGAACTACGACGAAGCCCAAACGTACGAGCTGTGCGACGCGAATGTGCTGCAGCTAGCTTCCACGCTTAGCGCGACGGTACCTTCGGATAAGTACTATGCCTTGTGTGGTATGCTGCGACTCAAGAATGTGAAGCCAAACCCAGCACATAGTGCCAACGAAGCACTTGAGGTTATCGTAAATGCCTTGGTTCAAGAAGGCCGGATGAGCTGGTTGTATGCTGTTCCGCCATCGCTTGGTGTTCCTATGCAACTTCGAAATGGAGAAATGGCCCCATTTGTCCTGACACGACTTGAAGATCGTCTAAAGCCCAACAAGAAGCATAACGCCGTTATTCGGTCCAAAGAGCTTACTCTCGATGCGATACGACTCGGGCGGGTTACGGAGGTACTGCCACTCTCACAGGTCCTGGAGTCAGCATCCAACCACCTACGCGAGACCCGCGATTTTGACTTCTCCGAAAGTATAGCGTACTGTCATCGCGTGCCAGACATCACCCGAAGGCTTTCACTCGACTTAGTAGACCCTTTACTTCTAGAACCCACTTTCGGGCACATATGCAGAGCTCTTCAACCTTTACATACTGTGAAGTCGGAAGCTCGTAAAGGATGGCTATGCGTCATGTTTCTCAGCTTCATCGACGAGCCTCTGATCCAGGAGATGTGTGAAGGCGCTGCCGAGGAAGACGTGCAAATCGTTAGATCAGCCGCTGCATCACTCTAGCGGCACTTGAGAAAGATCCAGGATCCCTTCAGCGTCTTACTTTGGGCCAAAGCAGCCGAAGACGACAAGTCCACCGTGGTCAGTGTAGCGATCTCGCGTTGTCCTGTCGATGCTCATGTCTTCTCACTGAATGGCGAGCCTGAATCGATGTTTGCGGCTCGTCTGCGAGATCGAGCGGACGCCCGTGATGAGTTTTTGTGGCCCATTATTCTCGTTGAACGTACGAGATACCATTGGTCCTAGGCCTTCTAGACTGTTCACCACGCCGTTCTGGCGGAAGAAATCTCACACTCCGCATGCGCAATCACTTCGTTTCAGACATCGAGGAGGCGATGAGGCATCGTAAGACGTTACTGTCATTGTGCTTTTGTTATGTAACATGAGGAGATACATGCGAGCTCAAAGGCACAAAGTACTGAAATACAAATGAAATCCTCCGTCAATCTCATCTACTTTGCAATCCACGTTTGCTTCATGCTCTCGAGGCGCCGTTGGCATTAGCTGAACTGCCTTGTGTCAAGCCTGGAGGTGGGTGTTCCATGCGAATACCCTCCATCAGTGACCTTTGTTAAGATGATCATTCAACTTGTCTTGGCGATAGAACATCCTACCACAGTGAGGGCGGGTGCAGGGGAAGAAGGGGCCGTTATGCTTTTTCATATGACGGCGGTACTCTCCAGGACGACCGAAGGTGTTAGAGCATCCATAGGGGCACTGACGAGAAGCAGTCACATTGCCATGTTGGACTTGGTAGTTGACTGGGGGTATAACCGGAGCGACAGGGGCTTGAATGCGAAGCTGGTGTAGGGACACATATGGTATAGTGTTGCCGCTGTCAGTTTGCGGAGCGACACTCATGTCGAGGACATATGAGGCTACGGCGTTGACAAGATCCTGATCGATACCATGGATGCCGTCGATGTCGCCGAGTTGTTCGTTGTTACCCAGTAGGTGATCGGCATCACCGTTCCACACGGCTCGGGCGTCCTCCACTAGCGTGTGGCTCCCGACGAGGGTGTAGGGGTATTGTGTCTCACTCACGCTGTGCAACTTAGTATGTGCTAAAAAAAAAACTCACCGGAGACCAGCCCCGCTAGCCACGGGATGGTCATCCGAAACAGCCCCATCGAGGCTCCCATTGCGCGTTTGCCCAAATGCAGGAGTCGAAGGCATGTTGAACGGTCGTTTTCGTGGGTTCGAAATGCTCGACTGTTTGTTCTGAGCCGTCGATAGGTGTTGCAGTCGGAAAATAATAGGGAGATCGATGGAATTGGAAGTTGATGGGATAAAGCCGTTTCGAAACCTCGTTCGTTCGTGTAGTGTTCACAGCAAGGAAGTGAACTGAGTGAGCGACAATCAATTACGATGCGCAAGGTGGGCGACGCCCAGTAGACACTACTTCGGGACTATGAGGCTGTAAAAGCCCTCGTACTACTTCGGCTAGTGTAGGGTAACACAAGTTACACAACAGTGTGCCCTTTCATGCATCACGGGACCAAATATGCAGGGGCGCAACAACAACACGACCACTCGAGCTTGGAAATCTGCTATGATGTGGGGGTTTTGAAACGCCAGTGTGCCCTTTGACACGTCACAAGGCTATACCGGAGCAATAGGCCTCCGATGACGCTCAGCCTTTTTCATGTATGGCTGCATCAAGGGTAAGGAAGCGAGTGTGACGGCAAGGTTGAAGATGCGATCTCTTTCTCATCCCTTCCATATTTAGTTGAAGATGCGACTCAAGGGTTAGCTAGAACACATAGTGCACGACTACTGTATGAGCTATAAGGCTCTTCACCTTGCTCTTGTTGGAGATCACAGGTACGCCAGATCAATGATTATATCATCCTGCCTTTTTTTCGTTCCGTTCAAAGTCAATGTGAAGCACTTCAGCTATGTTCTAGCGAGCAAGAACTATTTCGATAAGTGGCAAGAATCATATTAGACGCCTAACCAGTGCCACGATTCCTGTTCCACATACTCAAACGATGGAGTACCTATTTCACTTCGCTCTTTCCAAACTACCCCTTCCCAACATATCCGTTCTCACCCTCACCAAATTTGCTCAGGCTGCTTTCTTCATGTTCTCGTCACAACCCCACTGAACACATCCATCGCGGCCCGTATTATCAACAACCCCATAAACCGAAGTCCTTAAATAAGGATGTATCTATGCTTGTTACTCCCTACTAGCACCCATCTGATGACAAGTACTCACTGCATCGCTACGTCGCGCCTCAGAAGTCTCGGTTGTCTGTTGTAAGTCCAACGGCTGCGGAACCAACTCACGCGTCGACTCCGAAAACGACGTATCATAGAAGCTCGGCGGAAGTTCAAGCCGCTCGGTGAACTTTGACGTACCGGAATCCGGCTTTTCAGCTGGAGACTCGCATCGCTTTGGTGGCGGAAGAGAAGCGGGAGCAGGAGGAGGAGCGGACACTAGCGGGGACGTAGGAGGCGTAACGAGGGGTTCAATGTGTGGTTTGGGATGGAGGCGAATGAAGTTGACAGACGACTCCTTCTTCTTAGGCTTGTTGATGGTGAGGGAGAGGCAGAAGAGATTCATTGTAGGCATGGTGGCATAGCAGGATGGCAGTATGAAGATCTAGCGATATGTCAAAATGGCAAGATGGCATGTCAAAGCTGGGGCGGTTAAGTTTAAGTACTAATGAATCTCATGTGGTTCTGTTTACACGATGCTTGAGAGACAGTGTTGTCTCATCGTTGAGTTGCGTGGTTGTGGACGACCAGTGTGCGACATGGAACGGGGTGTCTTACTAGAGGTGTGAGTGAAGGGGGACGCTCTGCTTCGTACGCACACTGTCAAGTTCCAACGTATCAGGACTTTCGAAGACGACGCGTGCTTCTACCTCAAATAACTTTTCTTTCCTGAATGCGACCTGAATTCTAGCCAGCTCTAGCATGGGCGCCTGGATTCTTATAGCACAGGCATGAGTACCTCGCTCATCCACCTCTTTACGTGTTCGCACAACTGCTGCTTCTCGTGCCCATTGGTTTCCCCAGCGATCTTCGTTCCCCATCTTTCCTCGACATCCAACGCCAGCTTCTGGAAGAGCTTTCCGACCTCTTCGTCTGCGTTGCTCCAAACCAAACTCTTCAAGTCGCCATCTTCATGTAGCCAGTTCTTTAAGAAGTCGCCTTCGACGTGCTTGTGCTTGGCACCTCGCTGAAGACTTTGCCCCAGATAACGTGGATCTACATCCCTGACCAAGATCGCACCATGTTGATTGCCAGGGGTGTTGTTCATGAGAACGTTGAAAATGTCGCCACTACGGGGTTTGATCGTGTCGTGTTTATGGGCGCCTGAACGGTTGGTCTTGACCTCAATCAGGTTTTGTATCAGGCGGAGTAGTAGACGGGCGGGTGATGAGAGGATGGAGAAAGAGAAGATCGTGCCATCGGTACAAGCGCCGATGATATCGTCGACAAGGACTCCGGTGCTCTTTCCTGCAGGATTTGGACGACGCCAAGGTGGGCGGATATCGCCGCGGTCGAGACGAATCACAGATCGGGGAAGACATGCTTCGAATAATGTCGGTGAAGCGTTACTGTGGGTCCGAAGAGGTGGCTGGTAGAGACCGGTCACCGAGCTGCTCTTCTTATCGGTGAGTAAAACGAATCGATCGTTGCTACAGCCCTCCTTGTCTGGCAAATCCAAGACCAGATGTCGCGCGCAGTTGCGCATACCACTATCAGAGAACTCCCGCACAAACTCGAAAGTATCAGGTCGTGCTGATTCCACAACTTTGAAGCAAAGATGTGAGTGCTGGAGCGTCGAAACATAGACGAATGGCTGAATGACAGACACGTGGATACCTGGAGAGTGCAGATCTGTTTTACCACGCTGAAACCATCGACCGGCTTCCTCGTCGAAACGATCGATGCACAAAGACTTCCCGACGATACTGACTGTCGTCTGGTTGTCCCACAGCGCTATGCCATAGACTGGATCGCTATATGTTGACTGTTTCTGCAAATCCAGCTTGGAGCCCGATTTGCCAGTGTTGAAGATCAGTCGCCTTCCACTATACTGCGAGGAGCCGGTCTGGATTCCGGTACCAACAATGATGAGATTGTATCTCTTACTGTCTTTGTTCAAGAACTGCCATTCGACGATGGAATATACCCTCTCGGCATTCATCAAAGGAGCCTGAGCAACGACTAGTCGCTCCACCGGCGCTTCCACCTCCTGTTTGATCTCGACGTCATCGGTCGGTCTGTCGTCGCGCACCCTCAGTAGCTTGATCGATGAGTGCAAGACTCGTTCGCCAGAAGGTGGCCCTCGTCTCTCTTTCGCTTTCATAGTCGACACTAGTACTCGTCGTAACTTCTGCATGTACAGGATATTGCTCGGCTTAGCACCCGTGCTGAGTTTCCTGGGAACAATTTTGGAGTCGTGCAGAAACGTAGAAGGCATGTCTTGGCTTGACCATTTTACGTCTGCATCCAGTTGCGAGAAGAGAAGACGATCTCCGGCGACTGCAAACAGAAAGCCGCCGAGGTTCCTCCCAACAACGTCCAGTTTCGGTAGAAATGGCAGTTGATAGATCGCCGATACTGGCGATTGATTGTACTCGGGGTGGCCGCGATCGGTAAACCATATGGAATCGATGTCGAGACACGAGAATTCGCTTGAAGAGGGGCGCACTCGGCAGAAATCTGATCCACAAGAAACAAACGCTGCAGATACATCTGTTTCGCTGCGGGTGATCTTGGCTGAAGCTGCGCCCATATGAGTTGAGCTCCAGGACGGGGGTGATATGACTGTACGATGTGAGAAGCGTCTCGTATTAGGATCTATTTCAACTTACCACCGTGCTCTACGTGAATTTGCGAACTCAGAAGAGTGCCATCCCGCATTGCGCACACCAGAAAATTCTTGCCGTCCTTGCTCAGAACGGCAACACTCTCACAGAGCTTTTGCGAACCGTTGAGGGTATCTTGGTCTTTCCAGGAGTCTTCCAATGTCAACGAGGTCTCACCATACGAGTACTGAAAGAGGAAGACCTCCGAATCGAATGTACTAACGAACACATGTGGAAAGCCGTTGATCTCCAGTGTCTCTACGCATGTGGGATCATGAGCTAGCTGGTATTGGAATGAATTCGATCGGTCGAAGTTGCCGCCCTTTGAGATTGGTATGATCTCCAATAGCGCGTGACCGCTCTTTCGAGACGCAAGCGCGATGAAAGGGCATGCAGTATGTGTGACAGCCAACAGCAATGGAGAGTCAAACTTCAAAGACTCGATTTGTCTCAATGTTGGCCGAAGAAGAGTGCGGGCCTCTCGCCGTGTAATCTGGATCGATATCGTGTCAGACCAAGGACACGCCGAGATAGTCTCCTCTTCTCGCATCAGATCGTCTTCGAGCGGATCATCGTCGCTGGGTGTTTGGAACTTATCCCAGAAGCCCTCTTCCCATGCTCCAGTGAAGTCTGCACGGCTCTCCGGTTGTGTACGGACGACTCGAATTACCAAGGTCTCTGGCGGGAGCGTTATTGAAAATATCGCATAATGCTGTCTCTTCATCGTGCCTTCGATGTCTGCCATATGACTGCCATGGTCAACCACCCATATCCCAGCGCAGCCGTTGATGCCGCTGAAACTATCGTCGACAACGGCTTGTATGCCGCGTCGCAGCTCCGAGATCTCTCCATGTGGATTGTTGCCGTTTGCGACAAAAATGGACGATCGTTGCCGTTCGTCTGACGCGCGCGGGCTAGAAAGTTTGGTTACTACAAGGTCTGTAAGAGGCGTCCAATTTGGGATGCTATCGACGAAGGAGAATTGATTTGCGCTTGGATATTGTACTGCATACGAGTACTCAGTGGGCCAGGCACCGACTTTGCAAAGCAACCCATCATTGCTTGCCCCACCGGCGATCAGAAGATCTGGGTATTGCTGCGACATTTCTGAGTTGTCGATGCCCAAGCATGAAAAGGAGGTGTCAATCCGGTGTTGCCAATCACCAGCCTCATCGATCTCCAGAGTGCCCACTGGCCCTCGCACCACATACATGATACGGCCATCCTCTCTTGCAATGTAAAACACCTCCTTTTGGTATTCGGAGTTGCGCGGCGCCCTATCCCAAGCAGTCCACTTGGGGGCGTGCTTGCCATCGCCTGGTAGTGTTGATTGAAGTATTGTCTTGTCGATCGGCACTGTGGTTTGCGTTGGATCCCCAGAGAGAATGTTTTTGTAGACCGAGATGTGGTCGTCGGAGACTAGCAGGAAATCCGGACTCCGGCGAAGTGGTATGAGTAGAGAAGGTATTGTGTCCTCTAGACAAGTCAGCAACGCTCATATTGCTTAGTATGTCTATACACTTACCAGACTGGACAAGGTATCGCTCCGTCCGAGGGGTTGCTTTACTGAGATCCTGTCTGCAATCCCAATCGAAACAGGTGAGCCTGGTCCTCCCCTGGAGGACGACGACGAACAGCAAAACAACATGGTAATCGTCCTGTCCACCTCCTGATGATAGGAAATCCATGTGCATGATCTGACCTTCAATAGACATGATTCGCTCATCTTCGATAGGCGCAGCAATCTCATTGCTCATCCTGAAATCCCTTTTCCATCTTTCCATCGGCTTCGTCTTGTAGAGGATAAAGCGCCCTTCGTGTGCTGCGACTGCCATTGCTCGACATTTGGGATCTATAGCGAGAAAGGTACCAAAACGATCCAAGCGGGAACTCCCTGCAGGTAGCTTGATGGTCTTCTGGATGAATGTGGCAGTACCTGCCGGATCGTGTTGAGCCCACAAGAACATCAACAATCGGTTTGATAGAGTAAGCACGATGACTTCCGGAGGTAAGGCGTTGTCCCCGTTTCCCGTGGTTGGCCTTCTTGCCCTGTGCTTCATGTAATTTTGATGTAGTGAAGGACTGCCACTTGTGGTTGCGGAAACTTCACGAGGGTCGCCAAAGACTTTGGCGGTGATGATGCGGCCGCCGTTAAAGTCAGTCTTGGAAGCCACATGGCGGATCTGGCCATAGTCACGGATCTCTTTGAGACGTATGAAGTCCTCGCCGACCATGACAACATCGATCAGATCTTTGTGACGTATCTTCGCCGGAAGGATGAGTTTGCTTAGCGGTGTCTCAAAGACAGTCTGCGACAGTATGCCGTATTCAGGCACTTGGCTTGTTGGCTTGGGCGTTGCATCCCGCATCTCAACGTCATCTTGAGACGCGTTGGCCATGATCTGATAAGGGTCGAGCGGTCTGGAAACCCACTCACCGTCGACGAGGCTGAGGCCGTGGGCTTGGGCCATGACGTTTGATCAAGGCCTATTCGGAAGGCTGGAGACAAAGTATAGTCTGAAGACCGAAACCAATGATGACAGATTCCGCGCACAACACGGGATGAGATCAGACCAGTGTAGGTAGAAGCAATGAAGGCACACTGGGAGCTGAAACAGATGACATGTTGCTGCCTGTCGCAACAGGCTTGTCAGACACGCTGATGATGCAAGGAACTTCAGCAATAGGTACTGGGATCAATTGATGCAAGAGAAAGCCTGTCGGATGTGGCAAGGGCTGGATTGGACGGTTAGCGGTGGTGAGTGGAATAGCAGCAGCGACCTAAGGCAACTGGAACCGGGATGCCTTGACCAACTCAAGCCGGCAGCTAACAGCCCACGGTAGCACCCTCGACACCTTCTCAGAGACCGAGTTACTTGCTGCACCTACTACTAGCACGCAGCACGTGTAGAGCGCGGAAAGGCTCGTGTAATGCGCTTCAAGTATCGGAATGGGGTACCGATCTAGATCACCAGATGATCGTGCAGCAGGGAGTACGATCTTAGTCGGATCGCGGTCGGATCGCGATGGCTATGTGAGCTGGTTGCAAGTCCAGTGGTGAGGCGCAGTAGTTGACCAGGGTACGGGAACTCTTCCAGCAATGGTTGGTCGGCGTGAAGGTGTCGAGCATGCAGACAAGTGCGCCGACACGGAAAATTTGGCGGCACGGCAGCGTCTCGGGCCTTGGTGGCCGCCGGCGAACAGGTGGGCGCGAGTGGTGTTGTCGGGTTACACGGTCGTCACCCCCGCGCAGACAGCGGATAAAAGATGATGGCGATGGGATAGGAGGCGGCAAGTGCCGGTAGTTGACCTTCACAATTCGGTGGGGTGCCAAGCGCCTCGGTTGGACAAGGAGGAAGGCGCGACCCGTCACGTCAACCCGGCAGCTGGGACGCTCACGCGCAACAGCATGTAGCTCCTTAACAAACATCTTGCCACCCTCTTGCATCTCTTCCCTGCGCTCTCCTGCGCACACAAGGGCCCACGTTGGCCACGTCATCGCGCCCCAGATCCAGCTCTTTCCTGCCGCTGCCGCTGCCGCGTACTGAGGGCACGTCTCGAGATGCGGGCACTGTCATGGCATCACGCACTCCCTCTGGCTCCGTGTCGCGCTCAGTGAGCTCTGGCAGCTTGCCCACGCGAAACGCCACCCCCGTTCCCCACCTCACGCCTGCCGAGAAGGAGAAGGAGTCTCTCGTGCGCGCGGCCATCGACAATGGCGACGTCACTGCCCTGGTAGACCTCGCGACCAGCCCCTCTGGCCTCGTCAGCGATAGCTTGCGTTGCACTGCTTGTAGGCCTCCCATTGCACGCATCTCCACACTAGGCTGACAACTATAGGGCCTCTCTTACTGGGATGCTCTGACCAGGATTCAGAGAAGGAGCCATGGAAACATCTCTCCGAGCACAAGGATGAGCATCAGGTTGGCTTGGACGTCAACCGCGCGTTTGTCTACTACCCCAAGAACGGTATGTTGCATACAAGCGAGCCAACTTGTGTTTCATACTAATAGGACCAGAATCTGAGAAGCAGCTCAATCGTCGAAAAGAGCAGCTCTCCGATGTCATCCTCGACGTCCTGCGCCATCACCCCACGCTCTGCTACTTCCAGGGCTACCACGATATCGTCCAGGTCTTCCTCCTCGTTCTCGGCCCCGAACATGCCCCCGCTGCAGTTGCCCGACTAAGCCTGCTTCGCATTCGCGACTTCATGCTGTCGTCGCTCGATCCAGCCCTCGCCCAGCTCGAATTGCTGCGACCGATCCTCCGCGCCGCCGATCCCGTCCTGTATGAGCACCTTCCCAAAAGCCAGCCGTCATTCGCGCTCGCCGGAACAATCACCATGTTCGCCCACAATATACAAGACTATAAGGATATCACGAGGCTGTTTGACTTCTTCTTGGCGCGACACGCCGTCATGCCCATATACCTCTTCGCAGCTGTGGTGCTATCCAAGAGGGAGGAGCTGCTGGAGTACGAGAAGGAGGACGAGGATATACTCTACGTCATGCTAGGGAAGCTCCCAGAGCCCTTCGACGTCGAGTTCCACATCGCTCGGACCGTTGAGCTGTACGAGAGACTACCTCCTGCGTCGCTCAACAGCTGGGAGTGGTGGCGCATCTCGTCTTCCAGCGTACTCAAATCGTCTGCGACAAACAACAGTCTGCGTCATCTTACCTTGGAAGATGGCGAGATGCTGTTCCTGCAGCAGGAGCAGGACCTCCGTCGCGCGCAGACCCTGAGACAGGCCGTCAAGACAATACACTACATCAAGCTGCGTGTTTGGCACCACCGCCGGTACGGAGCTGTTGGTCTTGCCATGGTAGTGGGTGCCTATGCCCTGTGGCTCGGCAGGAACGGAGGCCACAACACAGGATTTCCGCTTTTTGGACCGTTGGGAGGGTACCTGATGAGGTATCTCGGGGGCCCAGCATGAACGGCGCATCAGGAGTTGCGGTTACAACAAAAGTGGATTCAAGCATAGCATGGCGCTAAGGCAAGATCGGCGCAGCAAGAGGAACAAAAGTTTGAAGAGCTGTTTGGCTCATATAGAGGTATATGCACATTGATGATCTTTCAATCATCCAGTCTACCCCAGGTGACAAGATCTTTACCTGCTTCCTTCTACCACCATCTACACGGATGTGTCTTCCTGTATCCCCACGATACGGCCAGGGCTCCTCTTCTCCGCGACGACTTTGAACAACGTCACTACAGAGTATACTCAACATCGCAGTACCTAGTACCAGGACACTACGACCATATTAGCCAACTTCACATCCCCATCCATCTCCAACCCAACTTACCGTATCATGAAACGCACAAGCCCACAGCGTACACTGCTGCATCTGTAGCTGTCGCGTCAAACCCATCTTGGTCTGTCAAACCGTCAGCTCGCATCCAGCAATGAATGTCTTTCTCTGGTCTCAGTGGCGGATACGTACCTTCATGCAATACTCAATCTCCTCGTCACAAACGCCGGATCCGGGGATCTCGGATAGCAGGGTTGCGGGTTTGGGGATCCATCGGTAGGTTGTAGTGCGGGGGTTTGCGGTTGGTGTTGCGGCGGAGGCGAGGGGGGTCAGGAGAAGGGTAAAAATGGGTAGGAGGATGGGGTGCATGTTTGGGCGGTGGCAGTTATGGTTGTCTGGTTCGTGTGTTGGGAAAGGAATGCGTGATAACTGAGTGTTGGGTAAAAGAGGTGGGTGAGAGGGTTGATCAGTCGCGTCGGCGTTGTGAAAGATCTTATGACGTTGGGTTGAGGAGTGAATAGGAAGAGAGGACTACATCGACTTGGAGTGTCACCGGCTTGCAAGCTTTTGATTCAGCTGGTACCTAGGGAAGCCATTTATTTTGGTAGAGGACTGCAGGTGATTATACATAGGGTTACCCAAGTTCAGGATGTTGGCCATATTGGAGACATTGACATCCCTCTTAGGCCGTGCGTAGTTTCCACCACACATCAATCCCATCGCCAACTGCCTTCGTTATACTCAAGCCGACATGGTACTTCATCCTACTCTCTCATGACTACTAGTCAAAATTGTCAGGCACCGGCGAGCCATGAAGGAGGGTGCGCAAATCAGGTTGTAGCACCTCGCCGGGTTCGAGTTTGTAAGTGCAGCGATCACAGTCCATGCACTACAAGAATGTTAGCCTACTCCTCCTGACCTTGAGAATAAATCACTTACAGCCTCGTCCGCGCACATGCTCTTGCGGAACTTCTCCTTAGTCTCGGCATCAGGTGAGCCCTATCAGCGCGTTAGTCATCGTTCGCAAAGCCCAGATGTATCGTCGTAGTAGAAGAGAACGAGCAGGGAAGGGGAATACTTACAGCGATGAGGTAAAGATACTGCATGTACTCGCAGCTTTTGACCGTCTCACAGACCCTGTTGTCCGGGTAAGGGTACAAGTATTTCGGAAAACCCGCGCATGTCATTCTTCCCTTGGGGAAGGCGGAAGTAGGTCCCTCGGGTTGGCAACCACCTGCCCTGCTGCACTGGTACGGCGCCGACCAGGTACCGTTACTGTTGCATTTGTACATGAAGCGCTGGTGGGTGTCGCAGGCCCAATCCCCGTAGGCACATTCGGTGCTGTTGGTTTGACGTTGGACATTCGACGGACCTACACCACCTGTCTCGCAATGCGCTTGGCCTGGGCTATCAGTGATGCAGTCGCCGTAAGTGGTGCACTTCTTCTCGGTATGCCACATCTCGTTGTCTCCGCATAGCATGAGGGCGTATGCATCAGAGTCGCACTTCCGATCGCTCGGTGTGCATGGCTCTGGTACGGTCGGGGGGGTTGGTGGCTTCATCCAGCATTGTACGACATCGTCATGCTTGACGCATTCGGAAGTCTTAGGACACATGGTTGATTTCCAGACGTTGTCGACACACTCCTGACGCTTGTTGCCAGAGCAGCGAGACGTGCCAGTATCGCAATACTCATGAGCATCTGGAGTTCCTTGCGATATCCACGACCGAGAGTCAAGGGATTTGGGAGGAGGAGCAGTGGACAGGATTTCAGGGTCGTAGACGCATTTTGTTTCGCCTTGGCTGACGTATTGACCAGGCACCCAGTGCATGCAAAACTCTTCCGATCCGCAGGTCCCATAGGCAAGCCAGAATTGATCATAGTTGCACATCTCGATGCGGTAAAGACCGTTTGACCAGTTTGAGCATCGCGTCTCGGTCACTGTTTTGCAAGGCTCAGGTTGCGGTGGAGTGCCAGGAGGGAGAGGCGCCGGTGGCAAGTCCGCAGTCGCGCAGGAAGTCTTGTTCATGAGTGTGTTACATACTCCGGGTGTAGGGCATGATTCAATGGCTTTCCATCGGTGCTCATTGTTGCATGCGACACGCCACTCATTGCCGAGGCAGCGCTCTTCGCCGGGGATGTCGCAGGTCGCGATACAATGACCATGATCATCAGGGTTGTTGGTGTCAATGGTACAGATTTCGGTCTTGCTACATGA